CAACCAGCGAGCAACATCCTGACGCCCTGCCTGGCAGATATCATAACTATTTTTTGGCAACTTATGTATTTTGCTTGAAGACATTGCATTTTAAGTGTTTTTGCTAAATTCCAGTTTGAATAGTACATTATTGGGTAGACGTAGAAAGTAGATCTTGGGAAATAGAAATAATCGACAGACAGATCCATTTCCAGCCTCTGTGAAGTTTTATATTTTCTACCAGCCACTGAAACTGCCGACGGCATTGCGTGTTTGGCGGATCGCTGCCTGAGCAATGATTAACTGACGTGAAGTGTGGTTAAGAAATAATGGGGGAGAGTTGATCTTTGTATCATCAGGAGGACTAGAGTAGGGGAAAAACGTTAGGTCCTTCAGTGTTAATGAAGTAGGTAAAGTCACGTTCAATATAACCGATAGTCATTGCCGAAAGCACTCTCGTGGACGTCAGTTTCTTAGTAGATTAGCAGCTACATGGCTTGGATAAATTTTCTTTCAGGAGTCAAGGACGGAGCTGACTTACATGAACAGTAACCATCCTTGATGTTACGAGGGTTCCTTTTGTACAGGTAGGTGGGCCGGTTGATCGGGTCTAGTTCACATCTGACCCCGGCTGGATAGTGGTTGCCAATTACAAAAGTCAATAAAGAACAATGCAGAATAGGCCCCTCATGCACAGGGTCGCACCAGCGTATCCAGTTGAATAGGTCACGACCCGTTCTGCAAAAAATTGTTTAGTAAGCCAACACATGGTAGCGGTGGGCGAAAATTTCACTGAATGATCGATCCCATGAAATGTGAGCCGAAATTCGGAAGTGTGTTTTCGATTAGGAAGGACTTCTTAGATGGGGTTATAATACTGGCTCGCATGTGGCATAATTTCATCATACTTGGGACCCTCGAGGATGTGGGCTTTTAAATGCACTTCTTTTCAACCACACTTGGTAAAACACAACTACTTATATAGTAGGCAATTCTAGCACCGATTTTGGATTGTCTCATAAATTCGAATATATTTTATAGAGGACATGCACAAAATATGCCTCATTTTACTCATATGGTAGGAAATAACGGAATATTTAAGTATTTTATGCGAAAACGTAATGTCTCTCTGTTTTGCAAGACGTTTTTATTATGAAACTTTTTAAGGCCGTGCAACGTTTACCTAAACAGCATCGTACCAGCACGTTCATTAATGCTCCTCAAAAAGTATGCAATGCAGTTCTCTCCAGCATACAATTTTATAAACTCTACGTAATATTTTCTTAACGGCATGAAAGAAAAGATGGTATTTCTTAAGCGGAAAGTGTACACCTTGTAAACTGAAATCGTTAAACGCTAATACAACGGATGATCTGGCTCAAAATTATTCGGGAATTGAAAAGTTTTTCAAAACGCGAATACACTCTTGCTTTGAGTATGAAGAGTTAGGACGACGTGATTTTCTACCAAAAGAGTGCAGTAAAACACATATTTATGCATTTTTGCTATAAAATATATTCTAATTTTTAAGGGCGTCCAGAATCAATACGAAAACTGCAAAGTATTTAAGCAGACAGTTCTTAAATGCGGTCTTACAGGCGGCCGAAAACAAGTGCATTCGAAACACAGCATCCTGCCGAGTCCGAAATATCATGCGGTTATGCATTATGATAATTAACATTGCAGCCCCATCTAAGTAATCCCTTCTAATCGACAACGCATTTCAGAATTTGAACTAACATTTCATGCGACCAGTCGCGAACTGTGCTTCTGAAAAGACGCAATGCTTGTGCATTTCTGCAAGAAACAATCTAAACTGACAGCTTATTTTGAAGTTCCTACTGGAACTTTTTGTTCAGACATGCTTGGGAATAGTAAGGGAGGCCACGCATTGTGTCACCTGAGCCAATATAACATTACCCTCGATTTTCAGACTAAATCTGATTTTTGGGTGGATATTTCTTTGTCATAGTAAGATGGCCCCTAGGTCGACGTTTTGTTTGGAAATTAAGAAGTTGACATTGACGGCTCAAATTCAGTCTTATCGTAATTCACTGAATAGTTCAAACTCGTTATTCCGCTGGCAAACAAATACAAGAAAGGTCTTCATTTCCAAGACTATTATGTGCTCAATGAATAAGGAAGTTACTAGGAGAAGGATTTTGGCATGCTAATTGAAAACCGACTCTTTTAGGTCGTACCTCACTTACTTACCCTCTAGACATTGCCTATATTAGCTTCGCGCATATTAAAACCGAGGAACCAAGCTAATGGCTAAAATTGTAGCCAATTTCTTTGGGTTTTGTAGTCTGCCATTTCTCTTGGGATTAATAGGAAAAGTCTCGCAACCTGGCGTGCATAAGTTAACTGAGGTACTTTATACGGGTCCTTTGAAACGGTCTGAGTAAACTGAAATTTACTCGATGGTGGAGTTGACTGAATTACAGGCACGCATGCTTAGTAAAACCTCAGAAATCGCTTTTATTCGATGTCAACTTTCTTCACCGAACAGGGAACGAAGGGGAAATCAGGCCTGGTAAGCCAATAAGTTCAGACATTTCACACTGATTTTTCAAGTTGTTGGAAATCCAAAACAATCTAAATCTTCCGATACGCAGATATATTTTGACCGTAGCAGGCAATGGGTATACAAAACACACTCAACAAAAGGATACCCCAGTAGACAAAGCATTCGACACTAATTTTGAGGGTGGGCCATGGACTTCCGCTCTCAGACACCTGTTTTCCGGTTTTAGGCATTCCGCATTTTCTCGGTCTGTTGAAGTCTCAGGGATTCCAGTCACACCGAGACAATGTTAGAAAAATAATAAAATCCAACGGTCCACTGTGATTTCCCATAGAATCTTAGGAAGTAGCCATATTTTCTGCTCACAGTAAAGGTGTAGTATTTATTTCTTGACGTGTAGATATACAGCAAAATTCAACATTTTAGGCACATTCTGCACTCTGAAATCTGCAAATATGAGGTGCTCTATCTACACGGGCTGATGGCCATGAAATGTAAAGATAAACAGGCCGACCAGGAAGCCAAAGCAGTTGTATATAATGCCAGACAACTGCTAGTGGTCAAATTCGAAGGCAAGGCTCTTTTTCCTCTGGTTTACAGCTGTGAGGCTCCTTCAGTGGGCACAGGCGGAAGGAAGCCCTGCGAAGGACACGGTTGAGGAACGCCTACATGTCCACAGGTCATTCAACAGGTCAGACAGTATGCACAAAGGATTTCGAAAGGAGAAATACAACGCAGTCAACATTCAAGGTGGGGATCACGGTGTGTCAAGCACCGTGGCTTGGAAATTTGCCAAATGACGCTTTAACTCAGTCACTTATGTGCTTTTGTGCTGCAATGCTTCCATCTCAACGTGAAGTCTGATACTCTCACGCACGTGGGATGCATGTCGCCCACCCCAGTTTTGGTGAAGAATCTTGGTGCTTGTTTTTGGGGGGCTAGGCCACGTATGTGGCACGCTCAGACGGGGTCAGTAGATATGTCAACCACCGCGCCCATTCCGCGCACCAAACAACTGGCCGGCTCGGACAGTAGCTGGAACCTTGGACTGAGAAGAGTGAGAGTGAGGTTGACGACTCGGCGCAATTTCTTCACTATAGGCAATCTGACGCGTTTGAAGCTAGCACGGTGCGCTTGCATCCGTGGCTTGGTGGGCTGCCAAATGACGGAATAACTTGAACCTCAAAGTCGGTCCATTTTTGTGTGTTTGTGTGGAACGACCGAGCGTTGCAGACTGGACCGCATTTCCCAAAGCATGATTAAAAATCAGTTTAATTAACTCCCTTACCCGCTAAGTCTTGATAACCTACGTCCCAAGAGGCCAGTAACGGATGACCTGACAAGAAAGATGGTGATGTGGTCCAGAGTTGACCTCAAACAACGAGCAAACCGATGAGTTATCGGGGTGAGCTGCCACCCCA